ATTAAACAAACCTCAAAGCAAATAGAAAATTTAAGAAATGAGGGAGGTTGTAGAATTTCAGTGCTGAAATGGCATGCAAAAGACCTTAAATCATGCAAGCAACACATGCACAACATGTTAAGAGCCAAAAACATCAAAGCTAGGGAAGAGCATTACACAAGAGGCATGCAATGCAATGCTCAAAAGGGACCAACAGTCCAAAACAATCCTAAAACACCCTAAATAGAGTTCCAAAACATGCTTGAAATAAGCTAAGAATAGCTATATTAAGAGGCCAAAACAATAGCACATGCTAGGCAATTTAGCACAATTGCACCACAAGAATATAAAGCAAAGATCATGCGATCAAACTAGCTCAAAACTGAGCTTAATCATGCCAAATCAGTGACCTAAACATGCTGAAACTTAGGCACAAAAGGCAAGAGAAACATGCTCGCATGTTGGCTCACAAACAAGACACAAAGCACAACTCTCAAAAGCAATGAAAGAGTGGGATATGTGAGAGTGTGACAGTAACATATGCTCTGAAATCACATGCGAAATGATGCTATATCATGCAAACATCACAAGCAAAGCATGCTAGAGGCCCTAAAACTCAAAGCTAGTAAATGCCATTTACACTATAGCTATACAAAGCAAAGCACATATGACCAAGACCACCCAAAATAGAGCTAAAGCATGCTAAATCAGTAGCAAAAATGTGCTGAAGTTGAGCTAACACAAGCTAGAATGATAGGCTAACTCATTAGGCATGCTAGGCTAGTGAGCAAAATTACACTACCAGTGTAAGAAGCAAACAAAAAGTGCTCCAACCAGCCAAAAACAAATTTATAACATGTTAAAATAAGGCCAAAAACATGCTTGAACTAGACTACAAAAAGATAGAAAAGCATGCTCAAATACTAGGCCATCTACACATCCAAAGAAGATATGAGGAGGGGGGACTACCCCCTCCTATTTTGGTCCTAAAAACCAACTTTTTACCACTGATATTCCCCTAGAATTCAATGGTTAAAAGGCCAAGAAAAGCGTATTTCAAAAGCTTTGAAAGATGGTTCAAAAGGCTTTACAAGCCAAAAAGCAAAGGGAGCAAACCACCCCTTCCCCAAACAAGACTCAAACCAACATTTTAAACCTTTAAAAATAGATTTTTTAAGATGTTAAAACCAGCCTCCAAATATCATGCAAAGGTGGCCAAACAGTGAATTAAAACAAGGCTTAAAAGGGTCAAGTTCTCACCCTTGAAGCACAGCACTAAAACAGCAACACTTCTGAGCCAAAACCATGCCTAAGACCTCAAACCAAGCTTTAAGGGACCAAGCTCCAAGGTGAAGGTGTTTGGCTAAGAGTCTCAGTGCAAAAATGTAAACAAAACTCACTTTCAAGCACAATATATATATAGGGAGAGAGAGAGAGAGAGAGAGAGAGTTCTACAGAGAGAATGAAATTTTGATCCTCTAAATTCTGAACCCTCAAAATGGGGGAGGCACCTCCCCTTATATAGAAAAGGAAAGCAAAAAGCTTGCTTCATCCCTCCATACACGTGTATGGAGGATGCATTCAATGATTAACAGCTGGCATAACTGGCACATAAAATATCTGAAAAAGGAGAAAATTGGTCGTCGGCCACTTCAGGTGACCGGCCGGCCACCTCCCCTAGCCGGCCAATCACTTCAAGTGGCCTACAAGGAGGAAAAGTGGCTGACAATAGCCAAAAGTGGCCGACAAGGCCCTTCTCCCTTCCAGGCAAGAGGCACCAAGGTTTGGCCCAAAAACAAGGCCAAAACACAGATGGTTTAGAGGCTCAAAGACAATGCGCTCAGCCGAGACCTTCCGGCACTCAAAACGAGCACAAACATGCGTAATCATTGAGTGCACAAACGATGACGTCAAAGTCTTGAGTTCGGTCAAAAATGGGGTGTCTACAATAACCCTCGCTTGAATCAGCCTCAAAACACACCATTCCTATAAAATATGGATATTGTAGACACCACATTTTAGACCACCCTTAAGACCAGGACGCCTCAGAGTGAACACTCGATGATGGCATAATACAATGTACAAACGTTCGATTTCTTCAACAATAATCCTCGGTTTTAAGTTTCAGAGCCCAGAACCTTGCACCCCTTTTGGACCAAAACCTTGTCTTTTTTCTAGCCTGACCACTCAGAGACCTACTAGCCAACAGGTGGCTAGTTGGCCAAAACTTAGTGGCCAGCCGTCTCCCTACATGGCCAGCCGGCCAAGTTTCTTGGCTAGTAGATATTTTGCTACCAACTGTCCCCCAATGTGCATGCATTGCACTAGCTGGCTCAATATAGATATTTCCAAGAAAGGAACCTGTGTTTCTATAAATACTTGATCATCCCTCATGGTTTTAGGTTAGAAAAATTCTCAAAGAGCCAAAAACTTGCCAGACACTCCCCCTCTCTATCTTGCAATATACATACACTTCCTAAACCAATATTTTGAGGCTTCTTGCTAAGATTATTGAGCTAAAATACCTGCCCTTAAGAGTGAGCACCTTGTGAATAAAAGAGAGTCTTCTCTTCAAAGGTATAACTCTTTCCATCTTTTGCTTACTTTTTTTTCCCATCTTTTTCTTAGTTTTCTATACTATTTTGAACTGTTTTTTGGTGGGATGAAACTTGTGATTTAAAGCTGCCAAAGGTGGAGGGGTTAACCACCCTTTCTTGAACCTTATTGCATGAGCTTTTATCGTTGTGATTCCCACTTGTTTCTCAACTTTTGGCCACTGATTTTTAGAGTTTTCATAGGCTAAAATATGTGGTTTTATGGTCCAAAAAAATGGAGGGACTAGCCATCCTTCCTTGGGTTTACTTACTAGCTTTAATTTTCTCTCATTTTTTTTTTCACTTTTTTAGCTTTTCAAACTAATTTTCCAGTAATGTTTTATGAGTTTTGGGATTGTTTTGGTGTGTTTACTTCATTCATGCTTTGAATACTATGCTTATGTTGTTGTAAGTCCCCACAGGTTTGGTGGTTTAGGCCTTAGACACCAACCTATTTGAGTTGATAGATTTTATTTCATAATTTTCATACACATACTCACACTTGTAATAATCATTTCTGCAACCTCCCTCCTTTCTTGGTTTTCTTTCTTCTTTTTCTTTAAGAGTTGTTTCAAACAATCAATTATTTCTCAAGGCACGAGAAAGCGACCTTTCATGCTTAATGGTTTAATCTCTTCAGAGGTTCATTACCAAGGCATTGCATCTCTCTCATGCTAAGTGCAATTTCTTGTTTGCCACTTCTCTTCATTAGTGGATGTAATTATCATTTTTGGACAAAATGAGTAAAGAATGGTGAGGCAATGTAAAAGAGCTTAAAATTGGACTAAAAGTGGTAACAAGAGTAATAAAATCAAGTTAGGTTCAATTGGACGTTAATTGAACCTATTGCATCTCGAGTCATTGCATACTCTTTAGTGATGTTAATGATTTGAGAAGCGATATCTACTACTTCCCTTGAGGTAACTCCATGATAGGAAAAAGGTGTTGTTGGCCTTTCATTTCATTTCATTGATCATTTTGTCCCATTGGTTCATAGATCATCAAGCAACAACTTTGCAACAATTGATGATTTGTGAACCGACTCTACTCCTCCCTTGATCAGTTTCATGATAGAAAGAGGTGGAGAGGATAAACATCCCCTAGAAATACTCTGTTTTTGCTTTGTTTCCATTCTATTACAGTAGGGAAGAACCTCAAAACAGTGGTCAACCGGCCGGCCACTCTATTTTAGGTAAGTAGTGTCAATTTCATGACATAACAGAGCAGAAGCTAGGGCAAAAACTAATTAATCTTCTGATTGCGAATAGAACAGAATCCAGCAGCAGAATAGAGGAGTTTCCCAAAGGATGTTCTCGGTTGCATGTGTGGTTTTTCAACTCCCGTTCGATTTCATTAGTAGCCCATAGATTAATTAGTGTTTCGTAATTAAGTAATTAAATTCCCTTGAATTTGTATGATTAGTTAAACTTAGCTTATATTCATTCATTTGGCGTTTGTGATATTTAGCTAATTAGGACATTTGTTCGGACCCTCTTGCATGAAGGCAAAATTGTAATATTGTTTACGTCTTCGAACCTCCATTCTTTCTTTCTTTTATTTAGTCGCTTGTGGTGGATTGCATGTAGCATCATATTTTGATTTCATATCATTACTATGTGTAAAATATCCATTTTGCATACATCTAGTTCGGTTCATCATTTTAACATTGTTGTCATTTCTTACTTCCTTGAATACATGCGCTATTGTATCCTTTGAGTTGAGTCATATGACATGTTAATAAATCAAACCTCGTAGTTGCATTTTGTATGTATTGCATTAGGCATTTGCATAATTAGAGCATGCATCTTTCTAACTACTTTCTTCTATTTTGGCTTGCGTCGGTTGAGTATTAGGTGAGCATTTCTTGCTTTAGCTTATTGCATATATATGTTTGTGTTTCCATATCAAGCAAATTACCATGAGGGTAAGTGTTTATTTGATATATATCTCTTTGAATGCTCGTGGATAAAGGCCTTTCCGCTTAGGTTGGGATGATGTGATTAATGTAAAGGTGAGCTTACTTCTCAAGTAGCACATATTCAAAACTCTTTTCAAACAAATATGAAATCAAAACGTTCCAAATTGGGCGAGTTAGTCTATACTTGTGTGCATCACATAGTAAATATAACATAATAATCGGAACAAGTGCATATACTATACCTAAAAAATACATCATGATTAGTAGAGGCTGATCTTTGATCAGGTGAGTGGGGTGCTCAATTCATGGCCTTCCCTGCTCATACCTAAGTTCCTGAGCCGAGACACTTTGGTGATGACGGACAAGTGGCCTTTGGCACGAGTTATGGGTTTCTTAAATTTTTCAAAAATATTTAGGTGGCGACTCTAAAATCTGGCAATTCAGTCCATTTTTTGTATTTTTTTTTATTGTAAATCGATTTTCTAAAGATTTGTCAGATTTTGACTCTTTTGTGTTTTTCTATTTCACACTGCACTTGTGAAACCATATTCAGAACCACAAGAGTCCGAACTGTAGGTCTATCGTATCCGAGTAGACTAAACCCCCTTAAGGAGCATGAAAAAACTAGCTACAGGGATCAACAACAACTACTTGAGATTGAAAGGGGCATTGTTTCTTATTATTGCATTGGCCTTTGCAATCAATGATGGGGATGCTCAAAATTCAACAACTCTTATTCCATCAATCTTAACATTTGGTGACTCTGCAGTAGATGTTGGGAACAATGACCATATTCACACCATTTTCAAAGCTAATTTTCCACCTTATGGCAGAGACTTCATCAATCATAAACCAACTGGAAGGTTCTGCAATGGCAAACTAGCCACTGATATCACCGGTAAGTTGTTCAACAGCTTTAGAATATTGACTTTGTCAAGTTCAATTTGTGTATCAAATATAATATTATTACTTAATTGTCATTTTAACCCGTCTCTGCAAGTTCAATCTGTGTATATCTAATCAAAGATCACCTTATTCTTGGAGAAGAGGGAGGGCTTATTGGCAATTCATCTTCTGATTATCTTTGGTGCATATATCCCTTAGGTTAGACTCTCTTAACCCTTTGGTAATTATGATTATGTGTACATATTCAACAAGTTCCTCGATTGGAACTCAACTCTTGATTCTAGAATTATACTTGTCTAAACTACTTGTGAATTGTTTAGCAATGTTACTATGGTAAAACTTTTACAACTTGACATGATTTTAATATTTTTTCCTAGAACTTATTGATTCATTTTCAATTATATATCAGAATTTGTGTGGTCAAATTAGATAACTTGCATACCTATTTTTTTTGTTCCTTTTGAAACTTATTAGGCTTCTCAAAATTCTAAGCCACAAGACTAACTTATTGGTAGTAACTTTTTGTTTCTTGTTCTCTTTTTCGGAGTGTACGAATGCACTTTAGTTGCATTTTTTAGATTGAATTTTATAATCTTTGTATATGAATAAAAAATTTGGAGAGGAAAGTTTTAATGACTAAAAAAAATGGAAATGAGCTGCTTCTGAAGAGCAATATATAAGGTGTCTGATTAATTTATATTTAAGAAAATCTTTTTTTTTACTTGCACAGCCTTTCCTCCTCCCAATCCCAATCTAATAATTTCTTCCACACCGTATTTTAAAAGTTCCTTGGAATTTGTCTTTTACATATTTTGTTCAATCTTATATCCATCACCTAGCATTTTTTATTTCCTATGAAATAGTGGACCACATCTCTAGTTTCTATTTCCCATTATTTTTTTGATAATGACAACTTTTCTCAATTCAAAGTGGATGCTGACACGTAACCATCACCTCGTTATGATTGCTGATAATTCCTTCATATTGAAATATATTATCTTCTGCCTTCTTGAATGTGCTTCTTCACTTTTCTGCATTTACTTCTTATATTTGCAGCTAGTTTTTTGACGTATGGCCATTTGCCTTTGATATCAGTATAGATAGGACAACAAATTTTGCACATTGCTACCCTGGCTTTGCAGTCTCTATGGGAGTTTTATATAAAGAAAAGCCGGCTATTGGTGCTGTGGTATATAATCACTTACCTTTATAGTCTCCAAAAAGAATTTGCATAATTCTGTAACGGTCCATCGGATTGAAAATTGATATGTAAATTAATTGGTCATTGAAGTTGTTATACTAAATGATGGTTTCCATGGTTGATGTGTTAATCAAAATATAAAACATAGTTGCATAAACCTTTTCATTTTCTATTTTTTTGGCATTGAACTCAACTCAACTAATTTTTGAAGTAATTCTTGTCCAATTATTTCTTCAAAGATTAAGAGTGAATGAGTTTCTCTGTTTCTGACTTGAAGGGATGACAATTGGTTTGTGTTTAAGGTAGAACTTGTTGGAGGCCCTATGTGTCAGAATACACACACGTTTTCTGTAGCTGCTGGTAAGAAGGTTTTATCTAAGCAATTATATAACAAGGTCTTTTACATACTAAAATTGAAATATAAAGTTCTGACTTAATATTTGTTACTCTTTATTCTAGGTGAGGGTACTTTTTGTAATGGGCAAAAAGATTCAAGTGAGTCATATCGATAGGTTGAGTGATCATGTTATATCTAGACTATAATGTTTTATTCAATAGGTGACCTTCAATAAGACCATTTTTTTGTTGGTGGTGGATGTGGAAGAGAGGTTGGTTGAGGATGTGCCCAACAACACTCTTTATTTTATGGCGTTTAGACTCGAGGAATTTTTTCGTGAACTTTACATACTTTCAGACCTTGTGATCTGACTCCATGAAAAGGAACTGAGAAAAGGTATTGACAACAACAGACTTTATTACAGGATAGTTCAAATGCTTGTGTATATTTCACTTCTTATCTATCTATAAAATTAATCAGGTTCCTTCTACTTTTGGAAACAGATCACATTGAAAAAAAAATGTGTAAAAGTATGGTGGTTTAGAGCTAAAAGCTGGATTTTTTTTTTTTTTAAGCTCACCTTTTTTCACTTGTTTTCTTAGGTCGAGCAATCACTTCTAGTTACTGGATTTGGGTATGAACATGACGATGCATGGAGTACCAACATAGAATTATTCAAAGAATTTACTGATGCCAGCCGGGTAATAACCGTTGTCTTTCACTTGCTTTACTGATAACTTGTTTTACTTCTTACATCATAGATAGGGGTGGAAGATTTTGTGTTTCAAGTTTTTGTAATCTCTCTTTCCATTTTGACATTTATATGTGTAGGGTGTGAGAAGGCTTGGTGCTGCTGCAGTGGATATGTGCCATGTAGCATTGGGAATTGTAGAAGCATATTGGGAATATCATCTAAAACCATGGGATATGGCTGCTGGTGTTTTGGTAACATCAATCATTTTAAGAAATATATCTTATTTTCTCTTCTAGATATCATTGAAAGAACTATATATAAAACAACGCCCAATTAGTACACATTAATGTGTGTTTGGGAGGGGAAAGATTAAGCACACACCTAACCTATGGCAAAATGCACAAAATGGTGGCCCGAAGACTTGAATCCATAACCTTAAGGTTATTACCCCAAGACTTCAAATCCACCCGTGCCATTTTTCATTTTCTCTGTTTTACTACCTTTCTAATTTTACTCAAATTCCTTATGGGTGCACTGAGCTACAATTTTTACACGTGAATTAGGAATACTATGGTAACTGTTAGATGACAATGTTTTTCAAGAATAGATTGAGAATCTACTAACCTAAGTTGGCTGACCAATTGTCATTTGTATTTTCTTAAAACTCCCCCCAGCATTCTATTTCATGGTCAAATATGGCAGCCAAGGCTGGATGATATTGCTCTCATCATTCTTGGGGCAAACTCACGATTACCTCACCGTCTGTGCCCTTACTTCTGCTCTAAAAGGTTATAAGGTTCGTTGATTTAGGGGTTGTTTGGTTTAGCTTATGGTGCTACTTAACAGTTTTTTTTTTTTTTTTTTTTTTTTTTTTTTTAAAGTTTGCTAGAGTGTTGATGTAGCTTTTGAGGCAAAAATAGCTAAAGTACTTTTAACTTTTGTTTTCTGAACCGGTTGACACACTAAAATGGTTTAACAACATCAAATGTCAACGAAATTTGGCACACATGACTAACTTGGAACAAATGACATGTAGGAAAAGACGGGGCTCAAAACCAATCCCAGTTTTGAATCTAGAGCCTAATTTCTATTTGTGAAAACTTGTCCTTTTGAAACTTTTTTCCCGAACCGATTGACATACTAAATTGGTCAAACGGTGTCGAATGTCAATAAAACTTAACACAGACTACTAACTATGCACAAATGACTTGTAGGAAATGACGAGATTCAAAATCGATTCCCGATTTTGAATCTAGAGCGTAATTTCCATTTGTGAAAACTTTCCTTTAGAAATTATTTTTCGAAGAACAATTGGAGAAACTCTTGGCAAATACATTGTGTGGCGTTTGATATATGTATATGTTACAATCTTAATTATTTATTTATTTTATGAAATATATATCAAATGTTTTATACATTTTGCAAGCTTGAAACTAATTATATTATAAATTTTTTTTTCTTTTTGCTAATGCTACCCTTTTGAGTATGTGATGATATCTTCGCATATTGATATTGTAGCTTACTGTTGATATTAAAACAAGCTTTTAATATATATATTTTTGTATTTGTATTGTCGATACTTTGGTTTTGTTTTAGATACAAATTTGAGTTTTTGAATTATCAAAAAATATTAGTACTGTTGGAGGATGTGTTATATATTTTTGTAAATAATGTTTGGTTAACACTGTATCATTACAGGGTACATATATATAATTATTCGTATATATGATTTTGTGAATGTGAATGTGGATGTGTATTAATAATTTGTACAGGAAATGAATTAATAAAATATATATTTATTTTATGGAAAAAAAAAATTGCGATGGTAATAAACCGTCACTAATGGAATCATCATTTCCTTGCATTTTATTAACGACGGGTTAACCTGTTGCATATGCATATTATAGCGACGGTTTAAACTATCACGAATACAATATTGATTTAATTCTATTTTCTTGCGACTCTTAAAACCATCGCTAATAATACTTTTCGCGACGTCAACTACCGTCTCTAAAAGAAATGTTTTTCCCTTTTTTGTGTCAGGTTAAACCTGTTGGAAAAAATGATTTTTTGGTGACTTTAATTAAATATTAAAGTGGGTCCCAACCATCTATTGTGTTGGGTCCAGGTGGGTCTAGATACTTTGCAATGAGATCTTTACACCACAAATAGTATAGCAAAAACCATTGAAAATTGCATGAGAAATTGCCCCATGAAGTTAGCTTCATGAAAGAGTTAATGGGGTTTGTAACTCCTGCATTTATTGCAGAGTTTAATAGTGCATTAATGGGGTTTGTAACTCCTGCCTTTATTGCAGAGTTTAATAGTGCATTAATGGGGTTTGTAACTCCTGCCTTTATTGCAGAGGTTAATGGTGCATTAGTGACCAACCATGAAGGCTGGAGGCTTCTCCTCTCTCCCCTATACATGTATAAATTGAGACCCTCCTGTCAAGTCTCCAACACAGAAATTGTTTCTTCCATTCTTTAGTCAATTTGCTAGAAAGTTCCTATTGTGAGAGAGTGCTGCCACTGTTTTTGTTTGCTAAGCTAGACAGAGAGTGCTTCTGCCGTAGTTGGTTTTTGACCGTCGTATCCTGGGAGACAGACGCCGGGATTCCTCAAGCACTTGACCCGTGAGGCGACGAAATCTGTTTCAAGGAAACTGCTACTGTGCAGGCTTCGGTTTGGTTTCTTTATCATTTTATTGTTTGTGTATTTTTGTTGAAATTTAGTTGTAATTATCAGCATATGTTCTTGGTATATAATTTTGATTTCTTCATAAATCTATTTAATTAATTTCACAATTTGAACAACAGGCTTAAAACAGATTTCTATATATATTTTTTTTTCTATGAAATTGATCGAATAGATTTATATAGACACTTGTATAATGTTACTAGGAGCTGATGCGGAATTGCTCCTTATTTCAATGATTGTAAATTATGCAATGTGATTCTCTAATTGCTTAGTTTAATTAGAATGGTCTATCATAATTTGTATACTTAATTGTATTAATCTGATCTTATTTTATGCATATGGCTCATCATTCCCCTTCTATGATTTGCATGAATTTTAAGGTTATAAAATATAATTTATGGATATTGCAATTTTGACATGCTAATTCTATTTTAGGTTTTAATTGGTTACATGCTTATTATTTTGGTTACATACTTATTATTTTCTAGACTAGATTTCATGATTTAATCTTTAGAAATTTTTGCATGTTAATTGTTAAATGGTTATATACTTGAAGTGCTTGGTTATTAGTTTATTACATATAAACAATTCAAATTATTTACATAAACTGCATGCTACTTATTTGGTTTCATCCTATTTGACTAATGTTGCATATGAATATTTTGATTTTGCATGCTTCTAGCTTTACTATCTAATTTGCATGTGAAATTGCTTCTAGTTTTCTAGAATTATACACATAAGTTATTTCCATGTTTATTATTTAAATTCTTATATAATTTTTAAGATTTGTAATGTGTGGTTTTATTTCCATGAATAGTGTGTGATTTAATTGGATGAATTAAAGTTTGAATTAAATGTACTTCTTTGGAGTTATAAAATTTGTGTAACTTGCCTATATTTATTTACATAGTTATTGTGAATTAAATTCTTATATAATTTATGGCAATTAATTTTTAATTTAATGTAGAAATTATAAGGTTTTGTAACTTGTATAGTATCTTAATTCCTTAGTTATTTTGTTATTCTATGATTTGCTAGAAGGTTAAAAAAAAAAATATTTGATTGTATGTACGATTGCTTTAGATTAGTTGTTTTATATTATGTCGTTGTTTGCTACTAACTCTCTTTGTAGGCATAAAATATAAAGCAACTAATCTAAAGCAATTGTACATACAATCAAATATTTTTTTTTTAACCTTCTAGCAAATCATAGAATAACAAAATAACAAAATAACTAAGGAATTAAGATACTATACAAGTTACAAAACCTTATAACTTCTACATTAAATTAAAAATTAATTGGCATAAATTATATAAGAATTTAATTGACAATAACCATGTAAATAAATATAGGCAAGTTACACAAATTTTATAACTCCAAAGAAGTACATTTAATTCAAACTTTAATTCATCCAATTAAATCACACACTATTCATGGAAATAAAACCACACATTACAAATCTTAAAAATTATATAAGAATTTAAATAATAAACATGGAAATAACTTATTGTCGACACCCCATTTTTGACCGTCCTCAAGACTTGGACGTCACCGCTTGAACACCCGGTGATCATCCTTGTTTGTGTTTGTCTTGAGTTCCCGGAGGTCTCGGCTACGCGTATTGCCTCAAGACCTCTTGCCTCGATTGTTTTGTGTTTGGTTTCGCACCAAACACTTGTGTTTTTGCTGTGGAGGGCAGGGAATGGCTTATTGGCCATCCCCACACATCACCGGCCACGGCTTGAGGCCACCGGCAGTGTTTTGTTGCCACCGGCCAAATGCTTGGCCGGCCGGCACTATAGATGGTCGACCGGCCATATTTTTTTGCAAATTGCATTTTTGGCCGGCCGACCACTGTGCATCTGCTTTTGCAGATATTTTATGCTAGCTGGCATATACTTTGTTCCCCTCCATACACGTGTATGGAGGGATCTCCCTCTTGGCAAACTTGTCTTGTAAGCTTGCAAGAGTGAACCTTCTATAAGAGGAGGCCGCTTCTCCCTCTTTTAGGTTAGACAAGATTTTCATAGAGAGCTCTGGTATTAGGGTTAGGTCATGGTGTCTCTATCCTATCTCTATATTGCTTTCTCTCTTTTGCCTTGTGTGTGTTTTGTCTTACTTTTGTGCACAAACACCTAGTTCCACACCTTCTCTTGGTTGCTGAGGGGCCAGAGGGTTGTTCTTGGTGTTCTTGACTGGTTTTGAGCTTTGAGGACCAGCTGGAGCATTATTCTTGAAGAGGATCAACAAGGGTAAGAACTTACCCCTTTTTTTCCCCATTTTTGCATAGCTTTTTCATCCACCTTGCAACTATTTTTGAGCTTAGCATATAACATATAAAAGTTTTTTTTTTTGAGTGCTTTAAATAGTTGGTTAAGAGTGTTTTGAGCTTTGAGGTTGTTTGACCCCTCTTAAGCCTTGTTAGGCTCAATTTTTGTGCATTTTTGGTGAGCTCCGGGACCATTGTGTTTGGGCCTCCTCACCGCTGAAATCTTGAGGGATTTCAGTGGTGTGGATGGTGCCTTGAGGTCCTAAGAAGGAGAGGGCCACCCCCTCTCCTTGTTATCCTTGAAAAGGGCCATTCTTGCCTCATGTGTGAGCACTTAGTTTAAGTGTGTGTTGACCATGCCTTAACTGTTATTTAGTGTTATTTTGCCATGATATAGCACTATGTTGAGTTGGTTTGGATACACCTTGCATGCCTTGCATACATGTCTTGTAATGGCACATTTTTACCTTAACATGCTTTAGGTTTAGACCCTTGTTCTAGCATGATTTAGGCTTAGCTTTGTGAAGCTTTTGTGCTTGTTTTAGCATGCTTAAGTTCGGTTTTTGGTTGCTTTGGTCGACCATGACATGCTTGGTATAGCCACCTTGCGTTTTGGCTTGTTAGCCTTGGGTGTGTGAGTGTGAAGCATGCTTTACTTGCTTTGATTTAGTGAGTTGGAACCATTTTCCATGTCATTTCAGTCCACTTAGCATGCTTGTATGCTTGCATTTCATGGCCCCTTTGATGCTTCAAGAGGTTGTGTCCTATGCTCCATGTTTGGTCATTGTGTATGCTTCCATGCGTAAGTCATTTAGATGCCATCTAAGTGGTCTTTTGCTTTGTTTTAGCATGCTAAAACTCTGGTTTTGGTCATTTAATTCATGCAATGTGTGGTTGCATTAAGTGTAGTTCATTTCCCCTTGGGCTTGCCTTGAATCTTGGACCATTGTTGCATGCCATTAGCCTATGTTTGCATCCTCTTAAGTGTGCTTGGTAGTTGTTCCTATATGCCTAGGTGTTGGTCCTTGTGTGCATGCATGCTTGCATGTCATTCATCCTTCCATTCTTGAGCATGTTAGCCATTGTTTTGGGCCTAGTTGAGAGCTGCATAATTCAGTTTAAGTCCATCTTTTGCATGCTATTCAAATGTTGTTGCATTAATCCACGTTTGCATGTTTTGGTTACATGTGTTGCGTGCTTGAAATCATTTGCATTTGGCATGCATTCCCTTGGTCAAGTTGCTAGCATGTTTGCATGTCTTGCACACTTGCATGATTAGATCACATCTCGCATGCTTCATTAGCTTGCATAGTTGTGGCATGCTTGTTTGCCTTGTTTGCTTAGGTTGCGTACCTAGTGTACATTGCATGTTTGCATGCTCCCCTCCATACCATATAGCATACAAGCTTGCATGCCTAGGTTGCATTCCATCTAGCATGCATGCCTTGTCCCTTGATCTAGTGATAGGGATTGGGCCTTTGTTTGTGTGTGTGCATTGCATTTGAAATCAAAATGCATACTTGGTCTCATGGGCCATCATGCATCAAAATGCGTGATTGATGGTCCGAGAACCAAGGAGCACACCCCTTTGAGTCATGAACATGATAAGAGGTGTGTTGGTGCATACATTTGCTTGAAACACCTTGCCATGCCACGCCATGTTTTGCCCTCTGCTGCTGTCAAAACAGGTTCTGCAGGAAGATTTGGCCAGTCGACTACACAGAGTGCCGATCGACCAAAAGTATGTGGCCGATAGCTACATTTTTGGCCGATGACTACCTACCCACGGCCGGTGATGATTCCCCTTGGCCGGTGGAATTCCCTAGCATCCAGCGAGTACACCCTGAGACTTTGGCAGTCTTCAGAGGAGCAGAGCAGGGAAAATAGAGGCTGCTTGTGCATGGCAGTGGACTTCCGAGCGGAACCGAACGCGCGTGCATTGGGCCCTCCTCCCGAGGCTATTTACTGTTTTATTGGATTAATTAATTTGTTAATTAATTAATTGGTTTGTAATATTTAATTAGCTTGTAGGTTAATTAATTTGTATTATTCTTTCAGTCCCTCCGAGCGAGGGCAAATTTGTAACAAGTGTGGGTGCGTGTGTGCATGTCTTCCAACCTCCACTTCTTTCTCCCTTTTACTTACCTGCTTTTGATGGTTAGTATTAGGACATGTTTACTTTAGCATACCTTATGCTATGCATGCGTGCATCATTCATTAGTCTTGCGTGCACCAGGCTCGGCGCATCATGCTAACTGCATAAAGTATTCAAATCTAACTTGAATACATGCTATCTGTGCATTTTCGCATGTCATCCTTAGATTTGCCGAGCCTATTCTAGATTGTATTC